AAGACATTGATCCTGTTTATACTCCTTTAATGTTCTTTTTTTCTTTTTTTTTTGAGACGGAGTTTCACTCGTTACCCAGGCTGGAGTGCAATGGCGTGATCTCGGCTCACCGCAACCTCCGCCTCCTGGGTTCAAGCAATTCTCCTGCCTCAGCCTCCCGAGTAGCTGGGACTACAGGCTCGCGCCACCATGCCCAGCTATTTTTTGTATTTTTAGTGGAGCCGGGGTTTCACCATGTTGACCAGGATGGTCTCGATCTCCTGACCTCGTGATCCACCCGCCTCGGTCTCCCAAAGTGCTGGATTACAGGCATGAGCCACCGCGCCCGGCTTAACGTTCTTTATTGTAGTTAAATTTCAAGTGGGAGACTTAACTTTAGAATGCACTTGCAGCTTTTGCTTTAATTTCTCTCTGCTCATCTTTGCTATTTAACACTGCACCAATGCTGTTGGCACTTTCAGCTCCCAAGTGCTGCGCGAGGAGCTGTCGCCGTAACTTCTGCCGCTCCGGGATCTCCTGCAAGCGGCTATCCATGTTCCAACTGCTGTTTTTCACTACCCTGAATATTTGTCAATTGCCAGTGAACCTTTATCCAACTTTTCTTCTGAGTCTGTGGAACACAGTATTTTCCGGGAGCTTAGGAACAGAGTTACCTCCTTGCTTTCCTCTTTTTTTTTTTTTTAAGACAGAGACTCCCTTCGTCGCCAGGCTGGAGTGCAATGGCACGATCTTGGCTCACTGCAACCTCTGCCTCCCAGGTTCAAGCAATTCTCCTGCCTCAGCCTCCTGAGTAGCGGGTACTATAGGCACACACCACCAGGTATTGCTATTATTCTCTCCAGCCCCAGCCACCCCTCTCTATAGCACCACCCACCATACTTCTCAACAGCCTAGACCTAGTGTCTCCCTTTTTCAAAGCCTCTCTCCAAGGCATACTGTTCCCCTGAGAGAGCTGAGCCCTGAGGGAAGAAAACAGGCCTGCCAATGGCTGATTCCCACTCCTCAGCATCAGGCTTTGCATTCTATGGAAAAGGTTTCTAGGCCAGGCAGCAAATTTCCTAAATGCACCAGGTCTCTTAGAGGTTGGCCTGATAGCTGTAGGTTGGATTCTTCCTCATAAAGATGCTTGGAACACAGGCAAGACAGTCCACATAGAAATGACCTGCAGGCTGGGCACAGTGGCTCACATCTGTAATCCCAGCACTTTGGGAAGCCAAGGCAGGTGGATCATGAGGTCAGGAGATTGAGACCACCCTGGCCAACATGATGAAACCCCATCTGTACTAAAAATACAAAAATTAGCTGGGCATGGTGGCACGTGCCTGTAATCCCAGCTACTCAGGAAGCTGAGGCAGGAGAATTGCCTGAACCCAGGAGGTGGAGGTTGCAGTGAGCCGAGATTGCGCCATTGCACTCCAGCCTGCGTAACAAGATCGAAACTCTGTCTCAAAAGAAAAAAAAAAAAAAAAAAGAAAGAGATCAAGACCATCCTGACCAACATGGTAAAACCCCTTCTCTACTAAAAATACAAAAATTGGTCTGGGCACGGTGGCTCGTGCCTGTAATCCCAGCACTTTGGGAGACACCGAGGTGGGCAGATAACGAGGGTCAGGAGATTGAGAGCATCCTAGCCAACATGGTGAAACCCTGTCTCTACTAAAATACAAAAAATTAGCCAGGCGTGGTGACATGTGCCTACAGTCCCAGCTGCTCAGGAGGCTGAGGCAGGGGAGTCGCTTCAACCTGGGAGATGGAGGTTCCGATGAGCCGAGATTGCGCCATTGCACTCCAGCCTAGTGACAGAGCAAGACTCCGTCTCAAAAAAACAAACAAAAAACACAAAAATTAGCTAGGCATGGTGGTGTGTGCCTATAGTACCGGCTCGGGAGGCTGAGGCAGGAGAATTGCTTGAACCTGGGAGGCAGAGGTTGCAGTGAGCCAAGATCGTGCCATTACACTCCAGCCTGGCGACGAAGGGAGACTGTCTTTAAAATTAAAAAAAAAAAAAAAAAAAGAGGAAAGCATGGAGGTTACTCTGTTCTTAAGCTCCCGGTAAATATGTGTTCCACAGACTCAGAAGAAAAGTTGGACAAGGATTCACTGGCGATTGACAAATATTCAAGGTAGTGAAAAACAGCAGTTGGAACATGGATAGCTGCTTGCAGGAGATCCGGGAGCGGCAAAAGTTACTGCGATAGCTCCTTGCGCAGCAGTTGGGAGCTGAAAGTGCCGACAGCATTGGTGCGGTGTTAAATAGAAAAGATGAGCAGAGAGAAATTGCTGAAACAAGAGAAACTTGCAGGGCTTCCTATGATACCTGTGCTCCAAATGCAAAACGATTAGAAATACAACAGGAGGAGAAAATTTGCCATATGAAGAAGAAATTTTAAAAAGATTCTAGTACTTTTCTTAAGAAAACAGAGCTTAAATCCCAATGATTAATGCCAACATTTTGTAGACACTGGACATAGACCTCAGAATTTCATCAGGGATGTAGGTTTAGCCGACTGATTTGAAGAATATCCTAAACTGAGGGAGCTTATCAGGCTAAAGGATGAGTTAATAGCTAAATCTAACACTCCTCCTATGTACTTACAAGCAGATATAGAAGCCTTCGACATCAGAAAACTAACACCCAAATTTGATGTGATTCTTCTGGAACCCCCTTTAGAAGAGTTTTACAGAGAAACTGACATCACTGCTAATGAAAAATGCTGGACTTGGGATGATATTATGAAGTTAGAAATTGATGAGATTGCAGCACCTCGATCGTTTATTTTCTCTGGTGTGGTACTGGGGAGGGGTTGGACCTTGGAAGAGTGTGTTTACGAAAAGGGGGTTACAGAAGATGTGAAGATATTTGTTGGATTAAAACCAATAAAAACAATCCTGGGAAGGCTAAGACTTTAGATCCAAAGGCTGTCTTTCAGAGAACAAAGGAACACTGCCTCATGGGGATGAAAGGAATCATTCATGCTAATGTTGACATTGACTTAATTATCACAGAAGAACCTGAAATTGGCAACACAGAAAAACCTGTAGAAATTTTTCATATAATTGAGCATTTTTGTCTTGGTAGAAGACGCCTTCATCTATTTGGAAGGGATAGTACAATTCGACCAGGCTGGCTCACAGTTGGACCAACGCTTACAAATAGCAACTACAATGCGGAAACATATGCATCCTATTTCAGTGCTCCTAATTCCTACTTGACTGGTTGTAAAGAAGAAACTGAGAGACTTTGACCAAAATCACCTCCTCCCAAATCTAAATCTGACCCGAGAAGGTGGAGCTCCCCGAGGTGAAGGAAGAGGTGGAACTTCCGCTGGCCGTGGATGAGAAAGAAATCGACCTAACTTCCGAGGAGAAAGAGGTGGCTTAAGAGGGGGCAGTGGAGGAGTACACAGAGGTGGCTTCCCACCTCGATAATTGTTGAAGACATTGATCCTGTTTATACTCCTTTAATGTTCTTTTTTTCTTTTTTTTTTGAGACGGAGTTTCACTCGTTACCCAGGCTGGAGTGCAATGGCGTGATCTCGGCTCACCGCAACCTCCGCCTCCTGGGTTCAAGCAATTCTCCTGCCTCAGCCTCCCGAGTAGCTGGGACTACAGGCTCGCGCCACCATGCCCAGCTATTTTTTGTATTTTTAGTGGAGCCGGGGTTTCACCATGTTGACCAGGATGGTCTCGATCTCCTGACCTCGTGATCCACCCGCCTCGGTCTCCCAAAGTGCTGGATTACAGGCATGAGCCACCGCGCCCGGCTTAACGTTCTTTATTGTAGTTAAATTTCAAGTGGGAGACTTAACTTTAGAATGCACTTGCAGCTTTTGCTTTAATTTCTCTCTGCTCATCTTTGCTATTTAACACTGCACCAATGCTGTTGGCACTTTCAGCTCCCAAGTGCTGCGCGAGGAGCTGTCGCCGTAACTTCTGCCGCTCCGGGATCTCCTGCAAGCGGCTATCCATGTTCCAACTGCTGTTTTTCACTACCCTGAATATTTGTCAATTGCCAGTGAACCTTTATCCAACTTTTCTTCTGAGTCTGTGGAACACAGTATTTTCCGGGAGCTTAGGAACAGAGTTACCTCCTTGCTTTCCTCTTTTTTTTTTTTTTAAGACAGAGACTCCCTTCGTCGCCAGGCTGGAGTGCAATGGCACGATCTTGGCTCACTGCAACCTCTGCCTCCCAGGTTCAAGCAATTCTCCTGCCTCAGCCTCCTGAGTAGCGGGTACTATAGGCACACACCACCAGGTATTGCTATTATTCTCTCCAGCCCCAGCCACCCCTCTCTATAGCACCACCCACCATACTTCTCAACAGCCTAGACCTAGTGTCTCCCTTTTTCAAAGCCTCTCTCCAAGGCATACTGTTCCCCTGAGAGAGCTGAGCCCTGAGGGAAGAAACAGGCCTGCCAATGGCTGATTCCCACTCCTCAGCATCAGGCTTTGCATTCTATGGAAAAGGTTTCTAGGCCAGGCAGCAAATTTCCTAAATGCACCAGGTCTCTTAGAGGTTGGCCTGATAGCTGTAGGTTGGATTCTTCCTCATAAAGATGCTTGGAACACAGGCAAGACAGTCCACATAGAAATGACCTGCAGGCTGGGCACAGTGGCTCACATCTGTAATCCCAGCACTTTGGGAAGCCAAGGCAGGTGGATCATGAGGTCAGGAGATTGAGACCACCCTGGCCAACATGATGAAACCCCATCTGTACTAAAAATACAAAAATTAGCTGGGCATGGTGGCACGTGCCTGTAATCCCAGCTACTCAGGAAGCTGAGGCAGGAGAGTCACTTGAGCCAGGGAGTAGGAAGTTGCAGTGAGCTCAGATCATGGCATTGTACTCCAGCCTGAAGGCAAAGTGAGACTCTGTCTCAAAGAAAAAAAAAAAAAAGAAGAAACCACCTGCAAAAAAGGAGCTTCCACAACTCTGAGCCCTAGAAACATTATTCTTGACACAAATTCCATGACAGTAAGCTGGTAGAAATGCACTTACCTTCTCTTGGAGCAGGAATTTTGGAATTGATGGATCTCCGTTTTTGTTTCTGAAAAACAAATCAAACTATCTTAATATATGGCTCTTATCAATTCTCAAGGGACTATCCTGAGCCCACGTACTATGCTACATTGCCAGACAATCAATCAGCAAAAAGCCAATAAGCAAAGTGAATCCTGTGGGGCACTGGCTGCAGCCAGATGACAGGCACCTACCTGGACTGTTACATTTTCCTGCAGGGGCAGATTGTCCTTCGGATGTAAGGGAAGAAGCTGTAAGAGTTCTGGGTTTATTGCAGCCACATCATCAAAATCAATCTGTAAGGAGCAAGTAAAGTTTCAGTGAAACATTGTTTGTCCAGTCCAAACACATTTTTTTTTTCAAGACAAGAGTCTCACTCTGTTGCCCAGGCTGGAGTGCAGTGGCATGGATCTCGGCTTACTGCAATCTCGCTTCCCAGGTTCAAGGGATTCTCCTGCCTCAGCCTCCTGAGTAGCTGGGATTACAGGCACATGCCACCAAGCCCAGCTAATTTTTGTATTTTTAGTAGAGATGGGGTTCACCATATTGGACAGGCTGGTCTTGAACTCATGACCTTGTGATCCACCTGCCTCGGCCTGCAAGGTGCTGGGATAACAGGTGTGAGCCACTACTGTGACTGGCCTTTTTTTTTTTTTTTTTTTTTGAGACTGTGTCTTACTCTATCTTCTGGGTTGGAGGGTAGTGGCATGATCTCGGCTCACTGCAAGCTCCACTTCCTGGGTCTGAGCTATTCTCCCATCTCGGCCTCCTGAGTAGCTAGGACTATAAGTATGCATCACTAAGCCCAGCTAATTTTTGTATTTTTAGTAGAGACAGGGTTTCACCATGTTGGCCAGACTGGTTTCAAACTCCTGGCCTCAGGTGATCTGTCCACCTAGGCCTCCTAAAGTGCTGGGATTACAGCTGTGAGCCCCTGTGCCTGGCACCCCCAAGTCTGAGGCAGAAGAATTGCTGGAACCCGGGAGGTGGAGGCTGCATTAAGCTGAGACTGCACCATTGCCCTCCAGCCTGGGTAACAGAGCTAGACTCCCATCTCAAAAACAAACAAACAAACAAATAAATAAATTTATTTCTATAGACAAGGCTACCCCTAAATTCAAACTTTACCAACTTTAAATTCCATTAAGTACAAATAGCTATAAAACAGCTACTCCTTAATAATGGTTTACCATCTAGATGGATGTGGGTTTCTGATTTCCAAGCCAGTCATAGATGTCAGTGATGAGAATGAATTAAAGAGGAGGGCAGACAGGCAGGCAAACAGTCAGGTACTCCACAGCTGACCTAGGGCACTTGGCTCCCCAGCTGTTCTGCTGGGCAGTGAGGTCCTGCTGGACACAGCCCTCCAGGCACCTCTTGCTGGCTGACACAGAGGAGGAAACAAGTTCTAACTGTCTGGTGAGAGTCAAATGGGGGCCCTTTAGGATCTTATGGGGAGGGGCAAGTTCCTGGCAGCTGCTACCTAACTCTAAGATTACCTACATTTTCTACCGGGCCCAGAAACTTCTTCCCCAGTTACAGCTTTGTGCTCATGCCCTACCTATTTCCTGTTGATGCCTGCAATGAAGTCACAATTCTAAGTTTACATCATTGGAATCCTGCAATCCTTTAGGAACAACTCAAATTTCACCAGCATAACTTTACAACAGGGTCAAACATATCCAATTTGTCCCAACTTTGTTATTTGTATTTCAAAATGTGACAGAGCATGTACTCCAGGTTGAGAGCTTTACTGCCTAGAGACACAAACTGCAGTTATTAGCTGCCTATTCAGATGTTTGTTAGGCACCACGAAGACAGCAGTGTGCAGGGGGAAGGTATTTAAAGGTGAATTAAGACATATATAACCCCTGCCACCATAAGTTCAAATTCTTTTTTTTTTTTTGAGATGGGAGTCTCGCTCTGTAGCCCAGGCTGGAGTGCAGTGGCACAATCTCCACTCACTGCAACCTCCGCCTCCCAGGTCCCAGTTCAAGCAATTCTCCTGCCTAAGCCTCCTGACTAGCTGGGATTACAGGAAGGCACCACCAAGCCCAGATAATTTTTTTATTTTTAGTAGAGACGGGGTTTCACCATGTTGGCCAGGATGGTTTTGAACTCCTGACCTTGTCATCCACCTGCCTCAGCCTCCCAAAGTGCTGGGATTACAGGTGTGAGCCACCACGCCTGGTCCATGAGCTCAATTTCTAATGGGGATTGTAAATCATATGCACAAAGGAAATCAAAGCAGAATGAGATAAGAAAAAGGAGGATAGAATCATTATATGCAAAAGCTGGAAAGCACTTCAGTAATCACATTTCTATCCACATTTCTAGCTACAGTCTCTTGGTACATACCTCCCCCATTTCCAACCCCTAAACAACAAAGAAAACCAAGCTGGGTGCAGTGGTTCACGCCTGTAATCTCAGCACTTTGGGAGGCTGAGGCGGGAGGATCACAAGATCAGGGGTTTAAGACCAGCCTGACCAACATGGTGAAACCCGGTCTCTACTTAAAAATACAAAAAATTACAAAAGAAAAAAAAAATACAAAAATTAGCTGGTGTGGTGGTGCACACCTGTAATCCCAGCTACTTGGGAGGCTGAGGCAGGAGAATTGCTTACCCGGAGGCAGAGGTTTCAGTGAGCTGAGAGCGCACCATTGCACTCCAGCCTGGGCGACAGAGCCAGACTCCATCTCAAAAACAAAACAAAACAAAACAAAACAAAAAATCCGCAGAAAACCAGTTTTAAGCCTTGCACTGACAATCAACTGATTCTCATGTTGATAATTCAGGGTGAACATCCAGGAGAAAGGAATAAGAGTGTAAAAGCAGCAGGGAACTAGACACAGAGTAGTAAACTGCTTCATTTGCCGGCCATAGGATATGTGGAAGAAGAGTTGTGAGGTACAAAGAAAAAGGGTGATTAGAGTCAGAGCTTGAAAGGGCTCTGAATGCCCCAATAAGAAGTTTGGACCGGCCAAGTACGGTGGCTCATGCCTGTAATCCCAGCATTTTCAGAGGCAGAGACCGGCAGATCACAAGGTCAGGAGAATCAATCACCTGAGGCTGGGAGGAGATTTGAAGGAGAGCACTGTGGCCAACAGGGTGAAACCCTGTCTCTACTAAAAATACAAAAGTTAGAGCCGTGGCGGCTTGGGCCAATTGTCCTAGCGCTTGAGGGAGGCGAGGCTATGACTTCAAGGCCAACGTGAGCCACAGAAGAACCTCTCATTCATTAACAAAAAAAAAAAAATTAGCCGGGCTTAGTGGTGCATGCTTGTAGTCCCAGCTACTTAGGAGGTTGAGGTGGGAGGATCGCTCAGACCCAGGAGGCTGAAGTTGCAGTGAGCCAAGATTACACCATTGCCCTCTGGCCTGGAAGACAGCAAGACTAAGTCTCAAAAAAAAAGAAGTTTGGACTTTATTCTAAAAGCAGTATTTGATGTGAGGTGAGACAAGAGGTACAATTCTAAACAACAAAAACAAAAAGCGAATCATAAAGGACTGATAATAGCTGGTTAAAATTTTAGGAACCTCTTGATTCTTTAGGAACAGATAATATAAATTATTCACTGCTTTTATTTCTCAAATATACCACCTAAATATCTCTACTATATGTACTATGCTAAGCAAGCTTTTTACATGTTTTATCTTATTTATTTATTATTTTAAGACACGGTCCCACTCTGTCACCCAGGCTGGAATACAGTGGCTCACTGTAGCCTTGAACTCCTGGGCTTAAGCGATCCTACTGCCTTAGCCTCTGGAGTAGCTGGGACCACAGGCGCAAGCCACTATGACTGGCTAATTGTTTTTTATTTTTAGTAGAGATGATGTGTTGCTGTATTGCCCTGCTGGCCTCAAATTCCTTGGCCTCCCGCCCCAGCCTCCCAAAGTGCCTGGGATTACAGGTACTGTGCCCAGCTACATGTATTATCTTATTAAAGCTCCACTGAGGCCGGGCGCAGTGGCTCACACCTGTAATCCCAGCACTGTGGGAGGCCGAGGCGGGTGGATCACGAGGTCAAGAGATTGAGACCATCCTGGTCAACATGGTGAAACCCTGTCTCTACTAAAAATACAAAAAATTAGCTGGGCATGGTGGTGCCTGCCTGTAATCCCAGCTACTCAGGAGGCTGAGGCAGGAGAATTGCCTGAACCCAGGAGGAGGTGGCGGTGAGCTGCGATCGTGCCATTGCACTCCAGCCTGGGTAACAAGAGAAACTCCGTCTCAAAAAAAAGAAGAAAAAAAAAAATAAAGCTCCACTGAGTTCAAGAGTCTGTCTCATTCACCTCCGTATCCCTAGCGCCCAATAAGTGTCTAGCATTTTTAAAGCAGTCCAGAAAATTTGCTGAGTAAATCCTCATAACAGCTCTGTTGAGGTAGATATTATAATCATCCCCACGTTATAGATGAGGAAACTAAACTTCGAAGAGGGGCAGAAACATGCCTGAGAACACAGAGCAGTGGCAGAGTCAGACTAGAACCCAGGTTTTCATACTCCTAGCCCAGTGACCTTTTCACTATACCACAATGCTGCCAGAACATAAATGTCTAAGTCACAGTGCTCTCCTCCAAATCGCCTCCCAGACTCAGGTGATTGAGTCTCTAGCCTTATCCTCCAAAGGAGTTGGGACTACAGGCATGTGCCACCATGCTGGTTGATTTTTTTTGTATTTTTTGTAGAAATGGGGTTTTGCCATTTTGACCAGCCTGGTCCTGAACTAAGCTCAAAGCGATCTGCCCACCTGGGCCTCCCAAAAGTACTGGGATTATAGATGTGAGCCACCATGCCTAACCAAGAGGATCTTTTTTTTTTCCTTTTTAGGAAAGGTCTCACTCTGTCGCCCAAAGATGCAGTGGCTGGAGTACAGTGGCTGGATTATGGTTCACTGCAGACTCAACCTCCCAGGCTAAATTGATCCTCTCACCTCAGCTTCCCGAGTAGCTGGAACCACAGGCACAACCCACCATACCCTGCTAATTTTTTTTATTTCTTATAGGGAGACAAGGTCTCAACATTTTTCCCAGGCTGGTCTTAAGCAGTCCTCCAGCCAAGGCCTCCCAAAGTGCTAGGATTAAAAGCAAGAGCCACCGCACCCAGCCAATATTTTTTGTTTGTTTGTTTGTTTTTTTAAAACAGAGTCCCTGAGCCTGGAAACCTCATCCAAAAAAAAAAAAAAAAAACCACAGAGTCTCACTCTGTCGTCCAGGCTGGAGTGCAGTGGTACGGTTTTGGCTCCACAACCTCTGCCTCCTGGGTTCAAGCAATTCTCCTGCCTTAGCCTCCTGAGTAGCTGGGATTACAAGCGTGCACCACCATGCCCCGCTAATTTTTGTATTTTTAGTAGAGACAGGGTTTCACCATGTTGGCCAGGCTGGTCTTGAACCCCTGACCTCAGGTGATCCGCCCACCGCAGCCTCTCAAAGTGCTACAATTATAGACGTGAGGGAGAAGAGCACAGCATCAGAAACTAGGCTGTCACAGATTCCACTTCTGCACAGATCCTTTATGTAGGAAGACATTAAATGTGGTAGAGGAATTCTCATAGAACCCTACCTCTTTGCCCTTTGTGGTACCTCCTTCTGTCCATTCCACTGAAACACAGGATTTCTCCAAGTTCACAGTCCTTACATTGGCACTGTGAATTAAGCCTATAAAGTATGAAAAAAACAGAGTTATCCATCTCTTTTCTGAGAGCTTCACTTTTAGGATTCCACAGAGACTCCCAAAATGGAATTAACTTGAAGGAACAGGCAACTGCCTTAACAAAACACTAAGAGAAACAAATCAACCAACTGGGCTTCACCTTTAGAATATCCACAGTGAGGGAGGCCGGGGACAGGGTTTAAAATTGAGCTGCATAGGATAAGGATTCACCCCTACTCAAAAGAGAGCCTAAAAAAAAAAAGAGAGCCTACAGAAGAGAGCACATGAGGTATGTTTGAGCAGAGGAGTCCCTATAGCCCTTAGATGAACTGTTCCTCAACACAGCATTGAGGATCTGGCCCTCTTGGGTTTTCCTAACTCACTTCTGGCGGTCATATCTGTCCATTCTCCTAGTGACACGTGTATTAGACCTGCTGGAACTGCGGTAGCTGCTTATCCGAGAGAACGACTACAAGCTCCTCCAGAGTAGGAATCTTGTCTGTCCCGTTTACCCTAAATCCCAGTGCCTGACATACTGCAACTATGCAGGATTTATTCGAGAGTAGAGGAGCCAGGAGGCCGAGGTCCCCACAAGTGCACAGCATTTTCAGGGGAGAATTTTGGAAGGGAAGTGAATTTAGAAGCCCCAACTTCCGTGGGGATTCTACCAGCCTCGGAGAGGGGCCGCCCATTCCCGGAGGACTGGAAGGGACTCACGTCCAGCACAAGGACTCTCACCCCTGTGTAGAAAAGAATGACTGATAATGCAGAGACCCGGAGTGAGTGAGAGCAAGGAAGGAGGAGGGAGGAAGGTAAGGAAGGCGGGGCGGCGGGAGGGGAAGGGGAGGGGGGAGAGAGAGCGCGCCCATTGTGTGTCTTTGTGCCTGGGGAGAGGCAGTAATTTCAGCCGTCGTG